TTGAAAAAAAAAAAGATTTCTAAAGTGCTTTGCAAACTGTTCCCTGCCTTCCTCCTCGTTTCCTGAACCTAAGGGAAAAAAAGAAAAAATATCCCCCTCTATTGGCAGAAGGCGGAATAGCAGCTTCCCATTAGTTTCTATGGACAGAAAAGAGCATATACAGATTAAATGGTTTTCAATGCATTCCTATGGGAAATGCAGATTCAACCTACGAACTTTTCGACCTAAGAACGACCTTCCAATACGGATTAAGTTCGTAAGTCAAGACCCCACTGTAACAGAGCTCAGTGGCACCTAAGAGAGATAAATTGTTAAGCACTGTCTGAAAAGAACAGAAAAAGGGAGGTAAATTGGCATGCTTGAATCCTTTTCAGTTTATGTTGTTGTAGGGAAAGATCATGCCTGCCTGTAACATTGTAACATTTTACTGCAGTTTCAGTTTGCCATGACTAAATCCATCATTTTGAAATATTCTTGTTTTTTAAAGTCATCAAGCCAATGAACATCTACACAGTCTGCACTGTACGAAGAAGTATTTTTACTGTCTATCATGAACCAACTGCCTCACGCTGTCATTGGGTCATACCAACGTCTAGTGCTAAGAAAAAGGGGAAAATAATAATAATCATAACTTAATTTTCCATACCATGCATTAACTGAACAATCCTCCATCATGTTCCCCATTATTTATCTTTCCAAACTAGAAAGATAAATAATGTTCCAAGGTTTTCTGAGACAAAAGATATTTGACTGTTTGGATCATTTTGGTTGAAGCTAATACAGTATATATCTTCAAGAAGACACATATATGAGCAATTTGTAATGTCAAGTCTTTGAAGGTCTATAATTCAGCCTGCACAAAGGGAAAAACTGTCATTCAGTAACAAAACAATAAACAGGGAAAAAATACCTGAGATAGTATTAGTTGTCCATGAAAAATCTGTATAAATTTTCTTAAAAAGGCAAAATAAGCAGCTTCTCCAGCTTTCTCTGCCAAAGACCGTAGAAGGAAATAACCCTAGAAGAAGCAACCAAAACAAGAATCTATTTTATCATTTATCTACTCACTTATTTAATAGATTTTTTTGGACTGCCTTTCAAAGTACGTACACGTGCAAGATGACTCACAACACAATTGTGACAATGTATTAAATATCCAAATTATTAATAAAATAACAACACCACTATGTTATATTATTAGTAGCATTAAATAACAATCATTAAAACCCAGCACCACAAAGCTACCTAAATACCAGCAGAAATGTTTTATTAAAAGGCTACACAGCTCTCTGAAACGCCAGCAAAGAAAGGGCTGGAGAGATGGACATTTTCCTGGAGAGGATATTTCAAAGATGTTGGGCCACCACAGAAAAGGCCATCTCTGGCACTTACCAAACTAGGAACTCTCAAAAATAAACCAGAAAACAGAGTTTCTGATGATCTCATAGCTGTAGGTAAACTTCATAAACTCTAACCCCAAACCATTTAGGTCTTGAAAGATTAATACAGTAACTTAAGTGTCTAAATGTGTGAGTAATATTGCTTTGTGAGAATAAGAACACTAGTTTTAACATTCTGACCTTCAGATAATGAACCTGCATGAAGATTTTCTCTGCCTTGAGGCCATGTTTGATTACAGATGCTCCAGATTCACTGACTTTGCCAGTGTTTTCTTTCTTGGGCCTAAATGGACACAAAACAATTCCAGATTCAAAATTTGGACACATGTACTTTACACATCTATGACAGCTTATAAAGTCTCACTGCCTAGAAACCTAATTACAAGTAGGCATAGTCTGCTGTATAAGAAAGTTTAATAATTGATTTGGGTAACTCTATTCATGGGAAAAATAGTACAGCAATGCATTTTTCTAATGTAACTTTATATACGGCTGCACAAACAGCTGAAGTTAAACTAGTAGCCAATTCTAAGCTGGTGTGAAGCTACTTAACTCTTCTCCCAGACATGACATCATATCACATGGCATTCTGCTAAGACTTGCTACACAGACTGGAGTATCACATTATGCACAAAGGGAAACAAGAAGAGTTGGAGATGGTGAGTCTACATGGAAGAAAATAGGATGGAGGGTTATTCAGTTCATTACATCCAGCTCTACTTTTAGGTGTCTCACCTGAACACAGCTTTCGTCTATGCCCAATATTGTGAAAATGGGCTTAAGGTTATTTTTCTTTTACTTTAATTTGCATTTTCCATGTACATTAAACAAAGGTAGCCAGTTTGTGAAAGCAAAGGGCTTGATACATTCGGCCTTCCAACTTATCAGCCAGGAAGACAGCAGTCACCAGAACAAATCCATACTGTGTGAATTCTTCATCAACGGATGTCCAGTTACAAAACCTCTAGTCAGCCATGGCATTATGGATTAGTGCCCAAGCAATTTGGTTCAAATCACACATTTAGGGCAGATGTAGGCTAGAGAAGCTCAACAGTTTATGTTCATTTGAGCCCCTCAATTTCACTGAACTCTGTGTAAATTTCATTTTTTTTCCCTTGGGGAAAAAACAGATATGTACATTACATATGCACACACCCCAAGAATAAAGTAATCTTTTAAGACTTTCTCCACATCTCTAAAAGAGAAAGATTGCAGGATTCCTTTCTGAAATACAGCATTCTTTCCGTATGTAGGATCATCTTTTCCAGTTTTGTTAATTAATGCAAATGTCAAGCATAAACTTGAAAGTCTACAGGACACAAAACAATTCCAGATTTATGGTATTCCTTGTTGTTGTGGGCTGTGCTGATTGTTCCATTGCCCACTAAGCTACTGGTCTCTACCAGAGGTTGTGGGACAAAGGAAGAAGAAAGGCATTTGAGGTTATACGTCCATTAAAATTACAGGCTGAGCAGGAGAACAATACAAGAAGGTCCTGTTGCTGAAATCAAGGACCCAGAAGTGGTGAGCAAACCCATAATAAAAAAATTATGCCTGCTTGTCGAATGAATGATGTTACAGTTTTGGAGGGAAAGGAATCTGAGCATTTAAAACATACCCCCAAATCCTATTAGGATCACCATCAGTCAAAAGCTTCTTGATGCAACCTTGATGAGGGAGAAGGCACCACCACCAGGGCCCTAGGGGGCAGGCCATCTGCGCTTTCCCCTGAGCCAGGGGAATCTGAGACCACCAGCTCCCCAATAGACTAGGGCAATGCACTCTGGGTCAAGTGGATACATGAGAATCCCAGGGATAGAGGACCTGAGGCCAGAAACCTAGAACCCTTATTTTGGAAGTGACACCAAAAGAAGAGCCACATGATGTCCACTAGAGGAGGAAGGGGACAACTGTCTCCTGGGAAATAGGGAATATAAAGCGGGCTGTGGAGGTAGGAAAGGAGGATCAGGAGAAGGAGGGAGACTGACAGTAAGCAGAGCAGATGGAAGAACACTCTGCAGATATAATAGTAGAAGAGGTTGAAGAGGAAGGGGACTGGGGAGATGCCTTAGAGGAACCCCAGAAAGGCTACCAAATAGAGGTACACCCCCCTGACAGAAGAGCCAGAACCCCCAGGTGACTGAGAGTATGCATACAAAGAAGCTTTGTGGACTTGGGTTACTGCACAGCTAAGAGTACCCTGAGAAGAGTCAGAGAAACACCTAAACTCTAAGCCTCTTCCCAAGCCCAGTTACTGGGGGGTGGGGTGGGGAGGAAGACCAGGAGCAGTGATGCAGGCAGTAAGAAACCCAGACCAGTGAACCATCTGGACACTGAAAAAAAGAGAAAGAACCAAAATACAGCAATCTACCAGTAAGAGCTAGGACTGCCTCTGATGCCTTGGGTGGGGACATACAAACTCTCCCTACTGTAAATCGTGAGGGAATGGATACTAGGACTCAATCTACTGAGAAGAGAAGGAAAAGAGACTGAACCGGCGGCAGTAACCAAGGGGCTCTTGCAGTGGTGGGATTCAGCAGGCCAACAAACGGTTCTGCAGAATCAACAATACATTAGCTACTGGTTCTGTAGAACTGGTGCGAACCTGCTGAATCCCACCACTGGGCTCTTGGATGCTAAAAGACATTTATGGAAACTGAAGGGAACTATCCTGAAAGAAGCTCCTCATGCTGTGCTTGTTTTCCCTGACCCTGTTTCAATAAATCTCAATGTGGTTGCTCTTCTATGTCTTCTATGGAATCAGAGATGGAGGAAGGAGCTCACAATGGCCCATAACAACAAAAAAAGAATTAACGTACTGTAAGACTAACAAGATTTCCTTTGCAAATAAATTAGGCAAGCAAATGGCCAGACACAAAGCTATATGTGTTTTGTGCAAGCCTTTTTCCTTATCAACACAATGCTTTATTGGAACAAAGACTACAACTAATCAACCACTTTAGCAATTAGCATCTGTGTTCACTGTAGCTAGCTCATGATGCATGGTAGCTCATGATAAGGCTGTCACTTCTATCGGCATCTATTGTCAAGCTACACACTTGCAAATGTGTGACCTATCTGTCCCTACATGTGCAAGAACATGAACCAAAATGACCAAGAAGAACTTGCAACAAGACTATAGTTATGTGAAGACTGAGGTAGATTGACCTTCCTGGGCTGGGCTACAATGGAAAGCGCTTAATGAATTATGTGCCAATAAATCAGTTCAAACTTATGGTGAACCTCCCAGGATTTCTGAGATACAAAGTACCCAGAAATAATTTACCAGTCCCTCTTTCTGGTGGTGTTATACATAGGTCTATGCAGCTTGCTGAAGGCCACACAAGGAGCAGGGAACATAAAACTATCTGCCACATGTGCTCCAGATGATCTCTCCTGGAGGACATGATGGAGATTTGAAGTCACAGTCCCTGGCTCTGCTGCCAGGCAATTCCTACCCAATGAGCTCTCTCAGCTCTCTCAAAATCTCTTAGGACAGCCAATTTGCCAAAGCTGATAATGTATAATAAATGTTCTTTTTGTGTATAGTGATGAAAAATTGAATATTGATGAACTGAGACGTGGAGAATGATTCAAGGACTTTTAAAAGAAACCTGAATGGACTATGGAGTAACCATTTAATTATCTATGTAAAATTTTCTTGATTATGTTATATTTCTGTACAGGACTCTCAAGAGTCCTGCTTGTTTAAACTTGTACTCGGGTCACTCCAAGAGACCTGGATTATGACTTACATGATTACAATATACATTTTAAGTCTATTTCACACATTAGACCATGATCCTTTAAATAGCAACATGCAATGCCACACAAGAACACTGTATGATTTGTAGAGAGCTGTGGACATATATTTTCCCCATATAATCCCCTAGATTTACAGGATACACACTTGTGCAGAGGTATATGGTAAATACAAAGATAGCAGTATATACCCCGTTTTCCTGAAAATAAGACCTAACCTGAAAATAAGCCCTAGTATGATTTTTCAGGATGCTCGTAATATAAGCCCTACCCCAAAAATAAGCCCCACTTAAATGAAACCCTGCCCTCCATCACTGTGCAGCAACCAGTAGATGATGTGACTGTATTTGAATAAATGTAGATTGTTGTACATGAAAAAAATAAAACATCCCCTGAAAATAAGCCCTAATGCATTTTTGGAGCAAAAATTAATATAAGACCCTTTCTTATTTTTGGGGAAACACAGTACTAGTCTTACTGAATTCCATGTACAACTATTCTCAAAACTAAGTGGTTGGAGACATTTTACAGAACAATAAAATGCGAACAAAGCTAACAATGAAGTAATGTTTTGTTGTACAACTTCAAACATCGGAGTTTATACTTACTACTTGATGTGTAAACATGGATAGACTGTAGTACCAATCTTGCTTAAGTCTCTGTTTAATTGTAAAATAATCAAGTCCATGTGTTTTAACATGCTTAGAACCAAGCAAAAAAATTCACATATAAGAATGGAACTTTCAACAACAACAAAGTAAAAAGTACGATTAAAACCTCAAGGAAATTTCCTCACTGAAATGTGGTTCAAATCACTCTCCCATGCTTTAGCATTCTCAACTAGTAGTATAAAGTAAGTATGATTTGGCAAGCAATGTGCTGTGCATGAAACAGATATAACTCTGTATCAGTGTTCAGAGTGAGTTCGGATGAGACTAGGGATTGAGGACTAAGCAAGATAGCTCTGTGAGGAATGGAATACTCTTATCTTTACTTGGTTCAATGAGATGACACTTCTTTGAATGCTTCCAGACTAAGAATGCCTGAGAATACAGATCAAACAGCATTGCACATCTTTTTTTCTTCATTAAGGGATTATTTTGCCCAAAGTAAGAAAAAAAAGGCAAATGAAGCCATGGGAAAGCATGGGTTATGAATTGAAGATATCATTGTTCAATCACACACACTGGGCAAATTCAACATCTGAGATAGGATAACAACAAGATAGAAGCCTATCCTGTGACCACTCTTTATGTCTCTTTAAAATTCAGTGCATGCTTAAATTCCACTCCAATAAAAAGAGTGTAAAATCGCAGCCTTACAATGTAATCCTAATTTAAAGGTTTCAGTTTCTTATTTGTAAACCTTCTGTAAAATTTTAAAAAACTTAATCAGAATATTTGTGCCCTTAGTGCTAATGTGAGACCAAGCCTGTAGGTAAGGGAATAAATAAATACACTACATAAATGCACAGTAATAGAATAAAATGGCCACAAATTTATTGATTACAGCTGAAATAAATTGGTATGGCATGGGGTCCAGATCCACATCCCCTTGGACAACTCATCTACCAGCCAATGCCCCAGCCTGTCAGCTGGAAGCAAACTACAACATAACAACAAAAAGGAATCTACATGGGCACATAATTAGTGGGTGGCTCCCCATTATCTGGGAGTGCAACTGGACCCAAGCAGAACCTCATTCCCATTACCTAAACTCCCAAAATCCCCTAAGGGGATCCTCAATTATAGGGGGGAATACCATCTCCCCCAAAGCTGGATTTAATGCCCCAGTCGCCATATCCAAAAGATATGATAACAGATAAAATCAATATTCTACAACCACCCTTCTACTTGATTTGATGATTCATGGAGACCCTGGAACAGGTATCTGACAGGAAGGATGGACTGGATGCATGATTTGATAAATGTTGTGAATCGCTGACCAGAACAGTTTTAAACCATCCCGCCAAAGGAGCCTTCTGCTCCATGCTAGGAAACCCCACCCCACTGGCCAACCCAGCCACTCCATGATAGTCCAGACATGCCAGGGAGAACTGGTGCACCTGTTATGCAGTACATGTTCTGTGGCCAGTAGAGCACATTATACCAAGAACCCTTCTCATTACTGGGGACCACTAGATCACTGCCTCACCCTGCTCAGCCACATGCATGTTGCAAATGGGGCCTGCCAAATAATTCAGAGATGCTGGACTGGATGTACATATTTAGAAACCAGAAAAAGTAAACAGATCATCTGAACTATACCTTAATACTTGCAGATCCTCCTCAGAATTCTGCATCTCATCTCTAAGACGCTGCCAGCGCAACAAAGCTTTTAACTTCTGTTGTTCTCTTGCTTCATCCAAAGACAGCTGCTAAAGACAAACATGCCATTAGGTTTTTTCCCCCTCTTCTCAGAAATTTTCTAATAGAAAATCTTGTCCTCTGGGCAAAGCGAGCGCACAGCTTCAAATAGTTACTTTTTTGGACTAAATTCCCAGACACACTATAGTTATGCTGGCTGGGGGATTTGATGACTTGTAGTTCCTCCACATCCCATCAAGAAGACAACTTTCCCAAGAGCCGGACAAAAAGAATACCCTGATAAGGCAAAACCCTAATTACAAAAACCTACGTGCATCAATTTTCACTGTATATGTTACCCTCTTGATAGTGGTAAAGGCTTCAAATCATCATTGCACCAGCTCAGAACAGAGTGCAAAATTCTACGTAATGCTGCTATTTTAATAAAACAAAAATTAATGGATTAAGCATATTTTAGTTATGAGTAAGAACAACAGTTCTGAAGCATATACTCTCTGTTTTAGATAATGTACATGTCTCATAACAAACTGTGGCACCTTTATTCAAGCATGAGCTGTCATGAATTCCTCAGAGATATAATCCATGAAAACCCACACAGAAACTCACACCGTTAGTCTTCAAAGTTTCAGAAAGCTTTAGTTTTTGTTTTTTATTACACATAAGTCATAACAGACACCATTTCAGAAGCTGTATTTATTATGTGCAGACTAGAACCTTGGACAATCGGGTTATTAAGCTCTTCCTTCCCTAATATCTTTAGTTACTTAAATAAAAGCACCTGAATAGGGCTAATGGCTGTTGTGGGTTTTTTCGGGCTCTTTGGCCGTGTTCTGAAGGTTGTTTTTCCTGACGTTTCGCCAGTCTCTGTGGCCGGCATCTTCAGAGGACAACACTCTGTGTTCTGGTGTAAGAGCACAGAGTGCTGTCCTCTGAAGATGCCGGCCACAGAGACTGGCGAAACGTCAGGAAAAACAACCTTCAGAACACGGCCAAAGAGCCCGAAAAAAACCCACAACAACTATTAGATCCCGGCTGTGAAAGCCTTCGTGAATACATTGAACAGGGCTAACATTTGGAGGGGAAAAACATACAGTAAGAATTTTTATACTGTAAAAATAGCAAAATATAACCACAGCCTTTAGAGCTTCTTTACTATCCAATGGTAACACAGGAACAGGGCTCAAAATAATATGAAATGGCAACAGTTCCTCACTTTTGAAAAGATCAAAAGCCTACTGTTTAAGAGCATATACTTTGCATGCCAAAGATGCTAGGTTGGGAAAGACTCCTGTCTCAGACTCTGGAGGGCCACTGCCAGATGGTATAAACTGCTGTTTTCAAAGCTGGTGCTCTTCAGATGTATTGAACTACAAGTCCTATGCTGTCTAGGGATGACAGCAGTTGCAGTCTAACACCAGGGTAGGGAAGACTCGTAGAACCAATGCTAACATGTACTGTACACTGATGGTTTAACTTTGTATTAAGGCAGCTTCTGATGTTAAATATATTATGAACTTCTCTAACTCCTGAAGATCCAGCTGAAGTAGGAACAGAAACCTTACTGGAGGTAATGAGTCAATAACCAGTTAAACACTCATTCTTCACTCGCAGGTTGAAAATTAGGTAACTGAATATTAAGCTACCTACCACACAATCATCATCTTTATTATTCATTCTAGACTTTGAAAAGGCAAAGAGTTCTGCCCAAAATTATTCTGTCTTCTCTTGACAATATGCCTTTCCCATAAATCACAAGAATCTTTACAATGATGTCTATAGGAATAAGTTATAAGTCAATCTGTAAGTGAAAAACAAATTTTCTAATTGTGGTAAAGAAGGCTTTCATATATCCAGTTGGGCTTCACTTGCAGAGATGTGTGCACATTATTAAATTAGGGTACAACAATGACATTTCCAATGAGATAGAGATAAAAGGGAGAATTTGAGCAAGGTGGATACAGGTGGACACAGGGATGGAACTTGTGAGTTGGAACTTGCTATCGAGTCTGACTTAAGTTGCACTAGTGACTTGACTCAGCCATAGGTCTTTTTGAGAAAGACTCGCATTTGACGCATGGCTCGGAACCATTTTTCCAAGTCGTGTTTCAAATCCCTGTTAGCAATGGGCCTCCCTATCTGCTGCTTCCACCTGCACACCTACCACCCAGCTGATAGACCAAGTGCACATGCAGAGGCAAGGGCCAGCTCCAGGAAGGGAAGTCAGCCCATTGTCTCTGTGCATAAACATCTTTCCACCTGGCTTTCCTTCCAAGCCCACTGTCTCTCCGCATGGCAGCTGGGGAGTGCATGCGCAGTCCGAGTCTTTGAGTCTGAGTCCCAAGTTCTGAGTCTTGAGTCATTTGCCCTGGGGGTCCATACAAACAGCTTGAGACCTGGACTCAAGTCTTGGCACTTGGCACACAGACCCAAAGTCTCAGACTCGGATTTGGGACTTAGACCTGAAGACTCAGACTTGGACTTATGAAGTCTCCCCTTGGTGGACACAACTCATTCATTTCTGCACCATCATGTTCCTCATATGAATGGGTAAACAAACTAAGTAAGAGCAATCTTAATGTGATGTCTTAGCCTCGGATTATGGTTTATTCCCCCTTAATAAATCAGAATCTGTAAGCCTAGAACAAACCTTATTTTAAATACAGCTTATGACACTGGCTTGTTTGGGTGCAGCAATTCAGCTTCAGCTATCCACAAAAAAACCTCTCTTCTTCCCAATATGTTTACCCGCTCATGCAAAGAAAGAAATAAAGCGGAAGAGAACAAGCCTGCATGCCACCTCTTCACATTCTGCTTTCTTAAGTTATAATTCGTTATATAAACCAAATATAGGCAACTTGTGGCTCTCCAAATGTTGTTGGACTGCAACTCCCCATTGGCCCTCACATATGCTGACTAAGACAGATGGGGGTTGCAGTTAAAGAACACATGGAGGGCTACACCTCGTCTATTCCTAGCTTAAATGTCAAACATTAAAGTGGCTGGCAATGAGGCCACTGTCACAGACAAATGAAGCCTTTAGCCTGATAATGAGCACGAACATGTATAAGTTCTTAAGAAGGATGCTTGCTCTCATTGGACAATGCACAGAGTGATGGCCATCCTAATTTCTCAGTTACAGAAGAGACTTTCCCCAGCTGTACCTGTTGTGCTGTTGACCAAAATAAATCTTCTAGATGAGTGGCAAATCCTTCACTTAGCCATTCTTCAGTCCAATCACGTGCCCCAATAGCCAAGCCAAACCACGCATGAGCTATTTCATGGCACAGCCGTGTTCCACAGAGATGGCTCCCTCCAAATAATGTACTCTGTGACAGGAAGATGATGTGTGGGCTGCATAAATGAAGGACAAAATAAATTATGGACCTGTTACAGCTTGCACTGCCTAGCTATAGCAGCAGGTAGACTTTATTAGCCTTGTCAGCCTGTTATTACAGGATACAGGCTATGTCATGACAGTTAGTTTATAGCTCAGACATTTTTAGGAATTAGGTTGCACTTTATTGTTTTCTGGCGAGGATTCAAGCGAAATATTCTGCCAAGCATTTGTTTCACATTTAACCATCAAACGGCTATTACCTGTAATAAGTAACTTAAACCCCAAGTTTTATATTTTTCAAATTACAAGGCTGATTTATTTCAATAGAAGCATTTATGCTTAAGCCAAGATAATAAAAGAAGGATAGGTGTGAATATAAACCATAGGTATTTTTGACAAAATGATCAAAGCAACCAAAAAAAGAAAAGAAAAAAAAGAAAAAGGCAGGAAAGAAAGAAAGGGAAAGGCACCCATTCAAAACGGAACATTATCAATGTTGAAAACTCTAAGCTTCCAGGACAAAAAAGGAGGCAAAGCAAACCCTTAATGAAACAAAAGCATGCAGTGGTGTTAAGGAAGAACCTATAGATTATAAAACACATGGGTACACAATTAAATTTGTGGAGCACTGATTACTCATGGAATAGGTCTCCATGCTGTGTTTATACGAATATTATCTTAGGCAAATTACAGAAAGAGGAAGAGACTGCAATTCCAGCAAAATTATGAAAGAGGAAAAGATAGAAATAATGGAATATAACAAACAAAAAACACACCAAAAACCTAAAAGCCTTGTAGTCCAAAACAACAAGAAGAAGGAATGGTACATCTCTAGAGGTTTGAAAACAAAGGTAGCCCCACAGAGGCCATGCCCAGAGGGGCTGGACCAAATATGAGTCTTTTATTTGCAATACACAACTCAGCATCAACATCCCTATTAGGCTGGTTCTCTAAGAGATGCAACATCCAGAAGACCCTTTCTCTCTAATTTCCCATCTAATATGCTTGTCCACTACTAATCTCTGCAAAGTAGCCGTCTAGCTTGGGTCTCCTAGATAGTTTGGCCTACAGTTCTGATAATTGCTGACTTACGTTGAGTCTTGGTAGCACTGCTAAGACTAAGAATTATTATCAAAAATATCTAAAGAAGCCGAGCTTAAGAAGGCTACTACAAAACACGGACAGAACTGGTATGCTATTACTTTTGCCTCTTGGTCTCTTGTGCCTTACAATTTCTCTGATTCTCACTTCCTGTCAGGACCTACAAGATGGCTTATCTTTTATTTCTATGTGAACAGGGGTGCATCGATTCATTTTGCTATGTCTACTACCTTAAAAAGAAAAACGTAATGAAGCCATAGCTTCATCACTTTCTCATGTCTAGTACATGACAGCATTCTGAAGACAGTAAACTCTTCTCCCATTCTGAATTACACTTTTAAAATCATACCGATTATCAAATTCAACACTTGCAAACAGGAGCTTATACCTGATGCAATGTAATTCTTTAACACAACTGAACCGTGAGTGTGTTTTAGAACTGTTTGCAACAAGTAGCAGGATTAGGGGTGGGAATGAGAGACACATCCGGTGTATGGGGTAGGAGGAATATTGCTGTGCTACATACAATATTTATAGACAATGTGTATCCAACATCACTCTTATTTCCTGATGCCACCTACACAACATTTTGTTACTCTTAGTTATAATATTTATTTTCACTCTACAAATAGATATATTTCCTTAAATGAAATTATCATTTGTTAAAGTTGTATGCATGACAGAATGCACAGATGTTCTGTGTTCACATGACTTGATAGTGTCAATTTGTGTTTGAAACAGCCCAAGGAGCTAAACTGGCAGTGTGGAACTAGTACGAATACAATACTGCCATTTGTCAATTTGCAAGTCAAGACTGGGCGGATATAAACAAAATGAGTTCAGAAGCTCAGCAAGCAGTCAGTTGTGGAGCATAGCCAGGTCTTCTCTACAGTTGATCCAAGAACTCAGATTGACTTCTCTGATGAATAACTACCGTTAGTGGGGCTTTGTTTACAAGGAATGCACAAGACAAAACCCAGCTTTTCAGGAGGTACTGTGAAGCCAATTTCAAAACAACAAACTCCATCCCCAATAACTTAGTTCATCTCCTTCCAAGCTGGACAGTAATCCATAGCCTACTGCAAGAACGTTTTTCTGAAACATCTTTCTTGAGTTTCAGAAAAGCAAAGACATCAGCTATAAAGTTTTCAGATAGTTGGTTTTATTAAAGGATTACATTGTCTTAGAAGCCATCTCAGATGCTGAGATAGGTGAGCGTAAAGAATCAGAAGAGTGGTCCACTTTTTCCAGGGTTCTCAAAAATTCGGTTAAGCTCAATGGGAAGTACAAGTCACTATTTTTCACCAGGATCACTTCACGAGACCTCTTATGGAGATAAACTGGATAACCTCACGCACAACATCCTTTTGTAAAGTTGATTTCTACCTCCTGTCTAGACTCTAGATGACATGGCCCACAAAACAGAGAGATCAAGCCCTGTGAAAGCTACAGGGCTGAGTATTTGCAGCAATATTCCAGATGGAAGACATATATACTTTACACTATTACCTTTTAAATAGAGTGCCTATATGCTAGAACACTTTAACACCAAGTAGCATGGCTTGAGGTGACAGTATGCAAGTAGCCATGCTCAAATCATAACCACTGGAGACTAAGATGGCTCAAGGCATTTTGCTGCCTGACACAAAGGAGAAGATGGAATCCCATTATACTGACCAGACCAGCACCTGATTTTAACAGTGGTGATGGGAAATCACATCTGACCACATCTAGAAGTTGAGTCATGGCAATTGGACTTCTTTCTTATTAGCCTGAAACGTTTCACTACTCATCCAAGTAGCTACTTCAGTCTGAGGAGAGTTGGTAGAAGAACCCGGATACCTCCATGCTCATTTATTTTATTTTATTTTATTTTATTTATATGCCGCCCACACTACCCAAAGGTCTCTGGGCGGCTTACAACATTTAAACATTTCACTCCGCCCTGCCCCCCATGGTCTGAATAGGCTCGTTGGGTGGATGGGGTGAGTGAAAAATCCGACCTCTTCAGTCACCCGCCAGAAAGACCACTTTTAATGACTGTTAATGACCCACGAGAATGGGTGGAGAAGGACTGCAGAGGTCCCCATCCTTTGTCCACTTAACAAGTCTACTCAAACCGGGAGGAAGTGAGAGGAACATGAAGGATATCTCAGGGGTCTCCCACCAACTCTCCTCAGACTGAAGCAGCTATTTGGATGAGAAAGAAATCCAGTTGGCCATGGCTCAGCTTCCAGCTCTAATTCAGGAGGTGCAAGGCAGACCACAAGGTATGTTGCTGTCTTTTCTAACACCTTGCTGCTGCCTTCCAATAACTGCCACCTATGACAAGAATCTCAATATGCTTAATGGTACAACCAGCTCTGATTAGAAAAATATACCAGGTACTGTAGATTCTTTTTCACCTCATCGGGTTTTACAGAGCTGTCTCCGATCTTTATTCTCATTAGCTGAAATCCTGTTGCTTAATGTAGTGTGCTACTCTAGAGTGGGCCAATGGAATCAGTGGGGATCTGCGAGTTAAGTCTGTGCATTCCATTGATTCATATGGGCCTACTTTACTTGCAACTTACTACATATAATATAACATTATGAGTTTATAACGTTATACACAGATCAAGAAGCATACAGTTAAAAGGTCATGGCACATCATGGGCTGCATCTGTAAAGGTTTGAGGTTGGATAAGTAACTTCTTGGGATGGCAACTCATAGAATCTTAAACCAGCATTGTCAGTGGCCATACTAGCTAGGGAATTTTGGGAGGTATCATCTGAAAGTGTTCCTTTTTCATGCTTCAGTACAAATCTGTACAGAGAAGATTTTCTTACCATGCTCATAACATGACCTTAAGACATTTCCAAGATATACGAATCCATGTTGCAAATAGCTCCTATTACTCACCCCAATCCTTCCTTCAAAAATGTAACACCCACATTTTTCTAGAAACAAGTTTATCTGTCTGGATCTGTCTTCAGACTGTGGTTTTAAAACTGTGTTTTCCACACACAGAAAGTAACCGTCCCAAAGTTGAAATTCAGGAAAGCTGATTCAGATGGAATTCAACCAGCTAAAATCACAGAATACACCACAACATACTGAAGCGTTAGTAAAGGGACAGAGTCACTGAGAACAAAGAACTAGAATAAGCAGCAAATCTCCGAATCTCCACACAAGCCAATTTAAATTATTAAGAGCAAAAAGGCACTGAGGGGGAAAAAAGCACAGAAGCTACAGAATATAATGAAACACTCCCTTTGATTACAAAGCCCCCGTTGAGAAGAATAACTGTGCAACTTGGGGGTACTGCTTTGGTCATTTTTAAGTAAATGACCCCTAACTGTGGTGTATGCAGTGTTACAGAGAAATAGCCCAGAAATGTACCAAGTAAATAACATTCCAGACATACTGCTGGCAGCCTTTTGGCCATTTGGCTGAAACAAAACAAAAGTAACTTCAGGCTTTACAAACAGGCATGCAGAAGGGGGTTACATTTTAATCATCTGTTGCATTCATATGAAGATATAAGGCAGAGATGATGTTTTTGAGTACTTTTTGGGGGGTGAGGTAATTCACACACTTAAAACAATTAAAAGGTCATACTAAAATGTGCCTCTTATCAGAACAACAAAAGACACAAGCATAAATGCATGGATGTAAACATCTGTGAACTGCACTACAATCAGGTCAGCAAGAACAGAATTTCATTTTCAGGCATTTCCTTCAGAGTTTGGAAAGGATTACTCGGGTCTTTATTCCTCCTCAAGCCTCAAATCTTGCTCTTTATTTCTCTCGCCAAAGCCATGCAGCCTGTTTCCCCACCCCAATACCCTCACCAGTTTATCAAAGCCATTTTTGAATTACATGTCACTACAGGGCCAGAGAAAGTAATTGTTTACTTTGGCACAAAGAATC